CATGCTAAAAAATTACTGCAACAACAACGTCCGTCGGCGAGGTTTGGTTGGGGCCCTATGCGCCAGTGGGAGACTACTGGGTTTATTATTATTACATGTTGTAATCCTGCCAATAAAAAATAGCCAGGTTTTAACTTTTCGAAGTAATTTTAAATTAAACTGTGTATTTATTTATCACCAGTTTAGTTAACCAGTGACTTCCAAAAGAATTATTACTACATAAGTTATCAGCGTAAGGTTGATTATAGCAGAGATCTAAAATTTACTGTTTTACATCATTGTCACTCATAAATTTGTTTACATTTTCTGTGAATTCAAGAAATTGGTGTAACATGTAAAATATAAGAAGTGTTGTAATAGTATCAGACACCTTGTTTCTATTTTTATCTAGATGAAACAGATGGCCAAGGACATCTTCAACAAGCACATGTGTGTTGGTGCACTGGAGCCTGTCAATGTTGATAGCCAGGCAAGACAAGTTACAGCTGATGGATTAGAACAACCAACATCTAACCTTTTTGTTGCTGCTCAGAAACAGGTGATTATTAATTATTCATAAACAGAGGGTATTTATCTAATGTCCATGTATATGACCCACAGGTATCAAGCAGTGTTACAAGTACTGTTGTACCAAAAGTGTGAATAAACTTGTAGATAACATACGTGATAGATAAGGTCACAATCAGACTAGTGAGTTTTATTATAATGGAACTTATGAAAGATTGAGGTATTGTTATTACTATGTGAAGTTTTATGACAGAAGGATGATTCCATGGTGTATTTTATTCATTCATATGCATTTATGTAAGAGTACATACTTATTGAAGACTTACAAGAAACTGAAAGTTTCACATTAACAGTTTCCTTCAAAACAACTAAAAGTAATACAGTTGTTGAAGAATTAAACATCTGATTGTTTGGCATTAGAAGTTACAAGTTGAGATTCAAGATACACACAAAAAATGCTAACAAAGAAAAGCAATACTGGCAGTGTATCTGTTAGATATTCTTCTTTTATTTTACACATCATTTTTAGCCAACTGTATTCTCTTACATCATTATCCATAGCAGCTATTTTCCTTTTTTATTTCCTTTGTAGATATTTAATCTTATGAAGTTTGACTGTTATCAGAGGTTTCTCAAGTCACAGTTGTTCAAAGAGTGTATGATGTGCGAGATGCAGGGACGGCCCCTGCTATATGAAGGACAAGCTGACACTCTATTTGCTGAATTTGGAATTAGTGATGACAAGGGAAATTTTAAAGAGAAGAGTAAAGAGGATGCAGAAGAGAGAAGAAGGAAGTATCTTTTACCTTGGCATAAAAGTGAGAACTTTTAAAGTGTGTGTGTGTCTATATATGTAAATAGATCTAATACCATTAGTTAAGTTAATTGTTAACGATGAAATATGCATTACAGTAGAATTACCATTATCGTTCCTTGTCGTCAAGATGATGCCTGTGGTAATAGCACTGAAATGTATTTGGGATATCCCATCTATCAGACAAAACCCAAACACTGATGTTAAATCAATTAAGGGTAAGGAGCTGAGTTCTTACACCCAAATTGTCTCAACTCCTACTGAATGTCATTGTTTGCACCCAGCTGTGGGAAGGCAGTTATCCATAGAGTTCTTGAAGTTCTTAAAATAGAAATGAAACCACCCTAAAATTTATATTATTTGAAACTCCTAACCTCTGTCTCCACAAAAATATATTAAATGGAACTAAACAATCTTAAAGAGAGCTACAAACCCTACTTTAATAGTTCTTACATACTCAACCTATTAAGGTAGGGTTTGTAGTTCTCTTTAAGATCACTTAGTTTTGTTTAATATCTTTTTGTAAGGAGGTTGGACATTTCAAATAGTAGAAATTTTAGGATGGTTTCATTTTTATGTTGAGAACTTGATGAACTTAACTCTAAGGGTAATTGCCTTTTCACATTGAGAGAAAGCACTACTGAAGAGGGAGGATGTTGAAAAGCTAAGCTCATAGATTTCTGAAAGTGATTTAATACTATTATTATTATTTATTCTAATTTTGGTTAAATAACACCATAATAACTAGATATAATAAGATTCTTAAATAAAAGTAAGATAGTAAAAGTTTTAAGTCAGAGTTTAGGGGTGTAAATTATTATTACAATGTTTTAACTTAAAATAGGCATAGTACGTTTAATGTTACTTTAGGCTTCGATATGTTTATACTCACTAGTAAGTTGTAAAACAGGATAAATAAATTGTTTTATTAAATAAATACAGTCTAAAAATTAGTATATTGTTTCTTGGTGTTCTATAATAACGTGTTTATTTGAACTCAGATCCATTATTTTAAATTCAGCTTATAATTTATAGATATAGGTAGGTTATAATATAAATCAGGCTAAAGTAAATACGTTTTATTATTAATGTTACATGTATGGTTCTAATAAATTAAGTTCTATATAATTAAAGATAAACTTTATTACTTCAGTTTGAAGACAAAGTAGTGATAAAAAAAATTATATAATTGGTTCTTAAACATTATGCTTAACAGTAACAGTGTTAACAATAAGCTACTGGTATTTGGTTTTGAGTATTATTTTCACTTTGAGGCTATAACAGTATAAATACAATGGTTAAGACTAGTATAGGAGTTAAGCGTTCTCAGCTTGTTAGGTGTAATGGTGCAAGGAGTGGGTTTTATTTAGGAACTCGGGACTGGAATGTAGTTTTAAGGAAGCTAGTAATGAAGATGTACAATTTTTATGTAGAGTTTGTAGGTTAGAAGAAACGTTAGAGGCAATCATGATTAAAGTAGATGCAATAGATAAAGAGAAATGTAGATTGTTGGAAATGGCAGCAGGATTTCAGGAGGAACTTAAGCTTTTACATGCAAGGGATACATCAGCTAACAGTGACTTTAGTATGTGTGGTAAATAGGGAGAAAAGAATCAGATTATGCTACCCAGGGGCACAAGTGGAGAATATGACTGACAGTAAGAGATATAACAAAGGGAACTAGCAGAGATGCAGTTTGTGTAGTGCATGTAGGGAAAGGTAGGTCAGAGGAGCTATTTAATAAGTATAAGTGGTTGACAAAGGCACTTAAAGAAAACGGCCATAACTTAATTTTGTCAGGGATACCGCCCAGAATTAACTATGGGGATGAAGTTATAAGTAGGTCATTAGGGCTAAATGCTAGGCTTAGGTTAATACGTAAGGATGAGCAAATTGGCTGGTTGGACTTGTGGGATCAGTTCAGTGGGAGAAGTGAGCTTTTTGCAATGGATGGTTTACATTTAAATAGAGTGGGCTGGCTTGTTTGCTAAAGCTATTAACTCAGTGTAAGGGAAGTTTGAAACTAGGACTAGGCAGTGGTGAGGGCCAGGAAAAACTGAATGCAAAAAGAATAAGAGGCAGAGAAAAGTTTAGCATAGGAAATTAGTATAGAAGTAGCTATAAAGATAGGCTTAATTGTTATTATTGTAATGCTAGAAGTATAAGAAATAGAATAGATAACTTTATACAACTAGTAGGAATGGAGGATTTTGATATAATGGGAATAATTGAAACATGGTTAAAGGTAGATGATTTTGATGCTACTATTTTTTGTCAGTCCTTGAATAATGGGCAGATACAAGAGGATTGGAAGTTAACTAATGGAACTCCTCTTTTCAAGGGCCCCTTGAGATGGATTCCTGTACATAGTGAGTGGACCTCCCAGAGAAGGTTCTGTATTTTCAGCTACTTCCTCTAGGATCTAAACATCCACCCACGTGTTTGCCATGTGTGGCAATCCATGAAGGGGAGGAGAGGATCCTGCTGGTTGAGTGGTGACTGGGGCACTGGAACACACCACTTTGGCCTTGAATTCCTGTAGATGGGTGGACTTGGGTTGCCCCCCACCCAAGGTCAGTTGGCTGGTCCCATTGAGCTATGGTCAACTGAGTACCAGTGTTGGGCATTCTCAATGGGTGTTGTGGACATCATGTCTGATGCTGGTGCTTGGGTATAGTGCTTGAAACCCTGGCGTTGCTCCAGTGTTCTTATTTGACATTGTAATGCATCCCCTCATAGGACTCCATGGCGGGTGGAGTCAGTGGGCACTGAATCTTTCTCTTTTATTATGGATCCCCCAAGTTGAAATAAAAAAATTGTAAAACTCTGCTAATAGGTAAATGTCCATGCCTTGAAGACTCCGAACAGCAGTCTCCATCACAAAATACACTTGTGCCTCGCTTCCTGATCCTGCATTCCTTGTCTGACAAATCTTTAGGGCAAATGTCTCCCTTTTTTATACAAAAGAAATTAGAGGGGCTTACTGGCTCTTTACACTGATTCTCTTAGCTCTCTACTGGCCCTGGAATCGCTTAACGTTAGTTCTCACACTTTTCTTGTCGATATTCAACAACTACTGGCCCATTTTTCTCTATCTTCTTTTTGTCTGACTTGATTGTATTTTTAATTTCTTAAGAACAATTGGCCTTTTATCTGAATTTTGGACATATTTTGGTTTTAACTCGCTGTGTTTTTACATTTTACTATAGTTTATTTTTTTTACTGTTTTCAGCAGTTGTTTGGTGCAGATAGTCTCATGGCTTTGCGCATTAAAACACAAAACAAACAACCAACCAACCTTTTCAACGGAGATGATAAAAATTTTCCCAGTAATTGTAGACCCATTAGTCTTACATCAGTTGTGGGAAAAATTTTGGAAAGTCTGTTAAAAGATGCTTTGCAAAGTCGTTTAACAAAGTTTAGAATTTTATTGGATAGTCAACACGATTTCACTAAATGAAAGTCTGGCCTTACAACTCTTTTGACATTCTTTGAAAAGGTTATTGCTTATGTAGATGAGGGTAGGTAAGGGTGTAGATTTGGTATATCTGGATTTTTCAGAAAGCATTTGACAAG